ATAATACCCAAGCCTTAAACTACCTGAGATTTTCAATGCTATCGTTTGAACCTTGCCGGGAATTTTGTTACAAGAAGTACGCAAGTCATCTATTGTTACATTTCTTGTTTCAATAGTTTCAGAACGAAATGTATTTTAAAAGTACATTTGTTTTTGGTTTTTGTTTTTCAAAATTATTGTTTAATTTTGCAGCAAATGTTAAATTGATGATTAATGATTATTTACCGAGTTAATGTTTGGACAAGTGCTTTACCCGATGGCAACTTGTACGCGTTCTTTACGTACCCTTATCAAAAGGGCTTTTCACCACTTTTCCCTAGTCGATAGGGCTATTRACCGCAAAGTAGCGTGCAACATATCGCTGATAGTCAGGTTATCATCAAGAAGGTCGACTGAGACTGACAAACGTATACCAGACTTCCTTGATAGCGAAATAGATAAAATAGTTCCAACGTGGTTATCAAATACATGCCCCGATGACAAGGGATTTCTCGCCACGATCTCTTACATCATAAGCGACCATTTTAGCCAGTTTCCGGTGATATAAAGTTGGCGCCAAAACCATTGAATGCATTTTGTTTGCTATTTTTAAATCGCCTAAGCGAGTATTATTCAATACTTGTAATACGTTTGTTTTCAGGAACTGGGTGCAGGAATAGTTTTTTGACAAGTCGATTTGATATTTACGAAATGCTATAACATACTTAACATTACGTAAATTAATAACACACGCTGGAATGTTATAATTGGGTATATTTCACAACCGAATAATAAAGTAGCTATGGACATTGTTTATTAAAATACTGTTTGAGTGATTGTTTTTATCACTTGTAACAACTTTGAATAGCTCCAATTTTGCGGTTCGTTGACATATCAGATGAATTTGTACAGATCAATCAGATCAATCGACTTATCTGATTTTGCGGGCGCCACAATTGTATGTAATAAGTGAAGTTTGAAGAAAAGCAAACTTCGAGATCGAAGATATATTCTACATCGTATCGAAAAAAATGAAATTGGTCGATACTACTACATTAATACTTGGAAATTGGCGAATATTTATCAATCAGACTAAATATTCGTCAAAGTTAATCGCTGTAAAAGGTATATATTTCAACAATGGAGAGTACTACTTTATTGTCGGCGGCATTTCGACATGTTCGACGACGTGGAGTCAGCAAAGCGTTTACATGCTTTCATACCGAAAGTAAAGAAGAAGGCACGGACAAGGTAATTATTTAATGAAACATACCAATTAATTTCTATTATGCTGATCAACGGCTCTGCGTTACAGTCTCCTTCGCACTTACATTCAGAAACTTTAATTTAGACACTTTCTGTTTACTTCAAACGCTTTACTTGAGCAGATACAGTTTTGGTATTAGCTTACAGACACCAAAGTATTTTTGAATACCTGCAATAGGCCAAATTTTCTTTAAAAAAGTACATCATGTTATTGTGTTTCTGGTACTGGGCTTTTGGGCAATTTACACTAAACAATAGGGCTGATAACACCAAGGGTTTATGGAAACCCTTTTGAAAAGGGCAATCTATCGTTAACCCCAGTTCTAAAGTGTAGTAGTCGATGGGCCCTCATTGCAAGGGCAAACATACGCGGTGCGGATTTCGTAGTCGGTTCACCAGCCAAAGAGATTCAAAAAACCTCAAAACTAGAAGTATTTCGTGTTACTGCAATTCCTGCTTAAAGCAACAATACAGCAATTGTGAAATTGTGAGAACAAAGATGTGCCAGAATGGTCTTTGCAAAAAATGGAGCCTGAGAGGAGCTATGGCGACGAGAGAATAACATGTACTCGCTTTGAAGAGCAAACTATACAGATTGCTGACCTTGCATGTATGGATGGTATTGTAGCAATAGCAGCTGGAGATCGAGGAGAAGACTACTACCTCCTTAAGCTTTCTGTTGACGGAACACATGTTTTAGACAGTCCTTTAAAACACGACTATGAGTCTGAATATCCATCTGGAGTTAAAGTCATTAAAGGACACTTCTTGGAGAAGAMCAGATCACATCATAACTCAAGTCAAGCATATCAAGTAATTTAAGATAGAGTAGCAGTTGTGTATGCAGCTGCAGCCACCGTAGGATACATGTAGTGTCATTAATGCTAATAATTTTGTCAAAGTTTGCAATTTATTTTTGCGATCTCTTAGACTTCACTAAATATTTTGCTCTATCATGGCTATGTGTGAATGAGTATTATTAACATGAAAATAAATTTGAAAATTAGCTCTGTCTGATAAAGAACTTGAAAAATGGACGGAAATTAAGATATTTAATTATTTTTTGAGAATCTGCTACGTGTGAATCAATTGATAAATTGCAATCTTTTTTTTTAGAATGTTTATTGTAAGAGTCAACCACTGACCTGCTTGATTGAGGGTTTATTACAACARGTTGATTGTTGTGGAAGAAAATCAAGCCACTAGCTTGTAAGAATCTGTATTTTTTCGTAATWTTTGACACCAGACCGCAGAACTAGTAATCTGAAACTATCATTTTGCTATAGGAAATCCTTTGAACCATTCAAGAGATGTAGTTGTGAAAAAAATACGAATAAAGTCGATTATGTGAGCTTATGTTGTAGTTGTACGTCAATCAATCGTACATCAATGGTTTAGAGTGTTTTTAAGTCAATTATTTTTTTAAGCGTATCGAGCTTCARAATTAACCATGAYTTCCTTGCGATTTTCAGCTGTTTTCTGTAAAGCATTCTCGATTTAATTTCGGACGAATATTTCTRAATGCCTTGACGCCAAGAGCAGAAAAGGCGCTGTGGCACGGAAAAGCCACGATGGCTCAACAGTGCCATTACCGCATTTACTCGAATAGACGCTGCCCCCAAATAGACGCCGCACTAAAAACTCAAAATATCTGGGTGCGGCGTCAATTTGAGGTAATAATGATACCAGCAATGGGAATTTATTTTCTTTTAGAACACYTTTTATTTCCAAGTGATTGTACTTTTTTCCTCTCAGCAGCTGTTAGATTTCGACCACTAGGAGGACATTGAGATAGACGTTTAACTTTGGTTAATTATAAGTATACACTGATTGCTGCTTATCAACATTTTCTATCTTAAAAATAGGCATATTAAAAATAGTCCCCAACACAAAAATTCAGCCAAAGGAAATTAATTTAGCACATCGAAATCTACATTGGAACCAGGAGACATGACTTGTATCTACTCTACTTTATCATTCATCGCAGACCATGCTTATCGATGCGGCGTTACGCCCATTGTTACCTTTGACCAACCACTTTGGTGGAAAGCCTTGATGATTGTGCTCAACGAGCCACAAGGAAGAGACGCCGCACTCAACACTTTGCTGATTGGTGGAGCTTTGGATTTGCCTGGGATAGATTCAGAAGAAGAAGATTCTTTAGCTGAGCCACACATGCAACAGGTATTGATTGGCATGTAGAAATGATGATTGCAAATTTATGACAATTTTACTTTCAGAAGTCCAAGCCGATAGAAACGTCACGATTTGAAGGATCTCATGACGCTACATGATGGTTTGATAGATGGTAAAGTCTCAGTTGAAGAAACTTGTAAAGCGAGTGGTGGGAACTAGCGGTTAACTAATGTGAGCTGCGTCGGTGTTTCTAAAGAATCAGTTGTGTAAAAAGATAATGGAATAGGAATGTATTGTAATGCGCCAGCGTGTGGCTGCATATTTCCAGCTTGCACTTTTTTTCAACATTTCCTTTTCTTGTGTGTCTATTCCATTTTATCTAAAGCCACATTACATTTGTAAGGACTTAACGATTCTAAACATGCTTGTTTATTCGAGAAATGCTCTTATTTCACTACGGAATTGGTATAAAACTCCCAAGATCTCAACTCAATCGCAMGGATCAGTGGTTCGTCCAGTATCGAATGAAGTATGGCAAAAGCTAGCTTTTTACAACCTACTTGCTCCAACAAGAGGACAACGTGGTGGCAGTCACTTGAAAGACCATAGACCTATTAAGACAGTGCAACGTTCTGATAGAACGAGGAAGTATTCTCTCCAAAATGTGCCAAACCGCTCAAACTTATTGTTAGTCAAAACCGACGGATTCAAAAACAATCGAGCGACGAAAATCTAATTCTGGCTCGAAACTTAGTGTTGCACATCTTAATGTTCGATCACTAAAAAACAGAAGCCATATTGTACAGATACGAGAGCTAATGAGAGAGAAGGATTATGAYGTCTTGGCTGTGTCTGAGTCTTGGCTCAACTCAACAGTAACAAACGCTGAAATTGAAATCGAAGGTTATAAACTAACGAGGCTCGACAGGCTGAACAAGACGTGTTTACTAAAGCGCCACTGAAAGTTAAGTGTCTCAAGGATATCTCTGGGATCTCTGAGCAAGGTTTTCACCAGTTGTGGATACAGATACAACTTAATCTTCTTAAATCACTCGTGTTTTGCGTGACTTATAGGCCTGACTATTGTCCCGTG